ACTCTATTTTTATAATATCAGAGACTGAGTGTTATCAAAAAGTGTTACTTTTATGCAATGTATATACACTTACTTCAGTGATTCATTCTCTATATATATAAGTAAGAATTGCAGCTTTTTCACACTGCATGACTCTCATTAAGATGCTGACACTGATGTGAGAATTAAGATCTTATTCAGGTCTCAAATACACTTCATAATTCAGAATATTGAGAAGATAGTTCTACTCTCTGAACATGTCAATCTACTTACTACTGAGATGAAATCTAAGACAGTAGATCAGAAAATGCAGGATTTTAAGATGCAGATTAATCTGACTAAGAAGAAGCAGTAGAAACTCTTCTCTGAGAAGACAGTAGAGAGAGATTTTGAGATGATCATCATCTCAGATAAGAAGAAGAAGAAGAAGAATAAGAATAAAAAGTGAATTATAAAGAATAATAAGAAGAATAAGAAAGAGAAAAAAGAAAATAAGTAGAAAAAGTTTGTTTCTTTTTATATTAATTAATTATAAGTTTATAATTATTAATAATTAAAATTAGTTTTAAGTTTTCAAAAATTATTGTACAAGTTGTAATCAATGTTAGAAATAATATATATATATATATTTAACTATCATGATTCACAAATCACTATAATGTATAAGTATTAACATTTTTTCAATATTAATATTTATAATATTAATATATTTTTAATAATATTATCTGATAATGTAATTTGGTAACACTCTCTTTCACAATATTAATATATTTCAAGAAATATGACAGAGATTAATCAAGATTGTTTATTTACTTTTATACATCAATAATATTCAATCTGAGTTAGTACTAAAATTATAACTAAGCTAAGAAAGAAGACTATTTTCTCTATATTAATTCTTCTTACACACATCAGTGATCAGTTATTGAAAATAAATTATTATCTTTCTTAAATTATTATCATATCTTCTGAATTCACTTCTTTCACTTCTTATACTTCTATTAAAGATTTATATACTCTTCAAGAAATCACTGTAAATTATAAAGTCTATATTATTTATAATTCAACACAGAATGCTCTCTTTCAATTATAATGAATAATCACTTCATTCTTCACATCTGATTTCAGATCATGAAATTTATGAAAAACTCAACATAAATATTGAGATAAACTATGAAATAATTATTAACAGATTTTATTACAGATTACTGAAAAGTTATCTCTCTGCTACAATCACTGAAACTTTATTCAGAAACATTTATTATAAACTGATTATAACTCTGAAGAAATTTTCTAACATCTGAAGTCATCAGAATACAGATAATAAAAGAAAAATAATTAGAAAATTATTATTAAGCTGATAAGTTACTCTATCAGATAATGATTTTTAATAATACTAACTTTCTAATTTGAAGAAAATTATGTAAAAATAATCATATATCAGTACTTTGATTTTATAACTCTCATCTAATAACTTTTATAAATAATTACTTTATATATGTATATCTCTGAGTCTTTCTCTTTAATCAATTGAAAACTCTGAATTGTGAACATTTCTTCAAATACTCAATTCAAATCTTTATATTTCACATCAATTCTGTCTTCAGTTCAATCTCAAGATATACTACAAAGTTAATATGCAATATCTAGAATCAGAGTTGAAGAATCATCAAAGAGTATCTCTCACAGTGAATGCATAAACTAGTATAAATAATCATACATTTATGAGAGTTACATGTTATTACATTGATGAGAACTGAACTTATTAAGAGATATTAATTGAATTTAAATCATTGATCAGTAGTCATACTGAGAATTATATAACAGAGATAATAATGACTGTGATTAAAAATGACTATTGAGATATTAATCTCAGTCTTCTTACAATTCTAACTGATAATACTGTGAATAACTACACTATGATAAAGAGCTTGAAGTAAAAAATAGCTTTGTATTTCTGAAATAATAAACAAGGTAATATTCTCTGCATTACTCATGTGGTTTAACTTGTGATATAAACACTGATAAAGAATCTTAACATTGAGATAAAGAATAATGAGATGACTGATTCTTAGAATGAAAATAAGATGAAAGTAATTATTATTATTATTATTATTATTCAATTATAGATGTATACAGTCAGAAACTATAACATCTACCTGAGAACTTTTAGTTCTCAGAGTTTTTCCTATATCTCTAAAGTCAAATATTATACATATAAGTATAATATCTTCTGTCACTGTTCTGTATACTCTTGAGCTTGATAAGATGATCATCTAATATCTAAAGTTACATACAGAAACCTTCATAAGTCTGATCTTTATCTACACTTATAAGAGTTTATAAGAGTTTGAAAGTTAATGTCTTCTTAAGCATACTAATCTTCATTCAATTCTCTCAAGGTTGATCACCTGCTTCTAGAATTTTAGTATCAAAGTCAGGAATAAATGTTGTAAGAGAAGTGTTTCTCTGTCAGATACTCTGTAATCAATCTAACACTTTTTATTACATGACAGTGTCTAGACTGGCTGCTGAGATCATGAATTTCATATTTGATCTCATTTAATCTGATCTCATACATTTCTTGGCGTGAATCTCACTGAAACTAGTCATTAAAAAAACATGCAAAGTGACTATATATCAGATCTTAAAATGAAATCATGACTTGAAAAAAATGAGAAAGTAGTTTCATTTGATTCTATTTAGTTTCATTCTTGATATAAAGTTACTATTTTTAGACATTTTAAGGTTTTTTTTAGACTATTTTTAATTTTTTAAAAAGTAACACTTTTTGATAACACTTAAATGAGATTTAAAGTCATTTAAAGTAATAAAAATAATTTAAATTGAGAAGTGAAAATCATGATCTTATTTGAAAAATGTGATAAGAGTAGACAGTAAGTTTCACTGAGACTGTATAAAACTACTATCTAATGTTAAAACTGTGTAATAGAATCAGTTAAATTAATAATAGAACTATCAAAAAATCTTGTTCTGATCTCAGATATGATCACACAGTCAGTCTAACAGTGTCTCAGAACAGACAGAATATCAAGATATTTGATAATATTGTCAGATATTCATAACACTGATTTATATACTTTTATTTATAAATGAAACTTCTGTTTCACATGATTCTTCAATTATTCATTGATATATCAATCTTGATTAATTAATAAACTAATGATATCTTCATCTATACTTAGTTTTACAAGCATTTTCATTCTTCATGATGAGTAGAGAGTGAGATTAGAAGTATTGAAATATATGAGAGTATCTAAGTGTTCTTTCAGTGCTTTTATATTTGATTCTGTAAATGTTGAAATTGTATGAGTTTCTTGTTATAATAATTATTAAATCTTTTCATATTAATGTTATTAAGTTGCATGCATATCAGCTATTTATTATTATTATAATTTCAACATTGCTCAGAGTTATTATGATATTATATCTATGCTTATGTTCAAGAATTCTCTCATATTATCATTAGATATAATTATATTGATTATTGAATGTATAATTGTATGAATATCTTATATGTCTGAGATATCAGAACTCTCAGGTCTTTCACTGACATTCTCTTGTAAAATCTTATTATAAGATCAGAGTGACTGATAAGTAAGCTTCTATCTAAGAACTTAGTATCTGCTTAACTGTTTCTCTTTCTTATACATTGTTACACATTCAGATATCTCTTAATGAATAATTATTTCTAATAAGAAGATAATATATGAATAATTATTTTTAATAAGAAGATGATGAATATTTTTCTAATATAAAAGATCTATACTGAATTAATTAGTATAATATATAGATCTTATATAATAAAGAGAAAAATATTAGAGAAGAAAAAGAAAGAGAAAGTACAAGAATTAGTGATTAAAGTGAATATTTATATGTGTATATAATGATATACATAGTGAGGCTTCAGAGTGGAAGAATCTATACACGTTTGTAATGACTGAGAATCAGTGATTGAGAATGACTGAGAATCGGAGTGTACGCATTCGAGAATAAAGTGGTTGAAATCTATGAAGTGTAATCTGTGAAGTGTAACAGAATAGTCTATATGATTGATCAGACGCAGCCCGTCATAAGTTTTTATATTCTGAGCTGAAATTTTCTGATTTATATATCTGAAATTAATAAATGTATAATAGTTCACTTTATAGATATTAGAAAAACTCTGAGAATTAAAAGTTTTCAGATAGATGTTATAGTCTCTGACTACATACATTTATAATTGAAGAATAATAATAGTAATAATAATACTGTCTTAGTAAAATCTACTATCTACTTTTATTACATTTTTAAAATAAGATTATAATTTTCACTTCTCAATTTAAATTCATTTTATTACTTTAAATCACTTTAAATTTTATTTAAGTATTATCAAAAATTATTATTTTTAAAAAAAATTAAAAATAGGCTAAAAAAAACTTTAAAATCTCTAAAAATAATAACTTTATGCTAAGAATAAGACTAAATGAAATTAAATGAAATTACTTTATTAATTTTTCTAAGTTATAGTTTCATTTAAATCTGATTAATAGTCACTTTGCATGTTTTTTTTTTTTTTTTTTGATGATTAGTCCCAGCAGGATTCACATCAAGAAATGTATGAGACCAGATCAAATGGGACCAAACATGAAATTCATCGATAGAGCTATCTACAAAGAGCTTCCAAAATATATAGTGGTTGGTTACGTGATCTAGGGAGATCGCCACAGCCGATAGCCGCAACGGCCGCAACGGCCAACATAAATAACATGAAAGGGACAAAGATAATGCGCTGGGTAGAGAGGCATTCTCAGATTGGTGTTATGTTAACTAGTTAGTTACTGTGAGAGTCCCGCCAGCCAAGATCATTAGTTATTAATCCACAATCCACCGTAGTTAAACTACTCTCGCCGAACGTGCAGCCCAAAACACCGAACCTGCATACAAGTTTGTCAGAGGAGCCTGAGCTAAAACTTTCGCCCTTAACACTTAGCCTTGCATCTTCTGTCTATCTCCCATCAATGGATGGACTCGTGGGTCCATCTTTACTGTTTGGCGAATCAACGCCTGATCAGGCTTCGCGGAAAGGGCGGGCAGCGTGTAACCCCTGCCACAGGCAAAAACTCCGGTGTATCCGCAAGCCGGAGGAAGCCCGCTGCGAGCGATGCCTCAGATTAGGAAAAACTTGCCAGTTTTCTATCCGCGCACCTCAGGGCTCTCTGAAGGCTCAGCGTGCACAACAGATGACGAGGCCTTCACGGACAGTTCTTATCCCCGCCTCAGGTACCATACCGAATGCGCATTCAGATGCGATGACTGGTCAGGAATAAGGCATGGAGGTGGGATTTTCTCGAAGTGAAGCAGCACTAGTCTCCGAGCTATCAGGTTAGGATGCTGCCTTCCAGCTTCTTCAGTCACTTTCTACTAAAGTAACGTGCTCATCTTGACTCTAGCAACGGTCGAACCGGGCTTCTCCTGGCTGGGACCCGAAAATTTCTCGTTTTTGGACAACATCTCTCCTTATAGCAACTTCTTCACCCCAAGGAACGAAAATTCACTGAACAGTGTCGTAAGCAATGTTGGTGGCGCTTTGTTCTCGCCCAGCTCCTCCACGAGAATTAGAAACTACGAGCAGAAGGGAACGCAAGTAACAGTGACATCTCCGATTCAACAATTGGCAAGCCTTAGTGTGGCAATGTATGAGTATGCCTCTAATCTCCCATCAAGATGTGAAGCGAGAGCTGGCAAACCAACACGCTTTGTCTTTGAGGACCTCTTCCATCTCACTCTTGAGCTCATGTGAGTCGTAAAACGGCTTGGGTCTGAAGAAGTTGCATCGTCAAGTGTGCCTTACCCACTTGTGGACTGGAATGATGAATCTACCATGCTTATGGTCCTCTCTTGCCACTCTCGCTTGGTAGAAATCTATTCTACCACCTTGCACATGCTGCGAGAATGTGTGAGGCATGCCTCAGTGTCTCGCGCGGACAGAGATTGGGGTATCGTTCTCCCGCGGCTGCAAGTCGGAGGATGCGAGGTGTCTCCGCCACTGTACATAGATATGAACATACATCCTTCTCGGACAATGGCACCGATATATCTGCGCATGGTTTTAATAGTCTCACGGAAGCTTTGGGCCCAGCTGGCAGAAACAACAATGACAGAAAGGCAAAATCAGTCCCATCCGCGCTCAAATCCATCGGGTCCCTGAGCAGATTCGCTGTGGAACAGCCTCATGGATAGGACCGCGTCACTGATTCAAGTGATAGATGCAATGAAGGATTCCTTCCATTGATCTTACCATCTTATACCTCTGCTTGTAGTAAATCAAGATGCGGAATTGAGAATGAGAATGTGCATGCATTGTTGGAACTCCTCTTCTCTTTCTCCCTAGCTCTTGAATAACGAAGTACCAGCTCTGCAGTCAAGGCAGCGGTGAACAACATTCAAAAATAACTCCAGCCAGCCTTTTTGTGGGACTTTCAGCACAGCCAGGCTTTCTCGCAAAGCACCAGCCGGGCACGTACTTCACAAGTAGCTTGAGAACAAAGCCCAAAACAAGTAAATTGCGGCTTATAGTCACAAATCTCCTGATATCATTCACATTGTAATTGAACCCTTTGGGACACTCAATGATCACTTCCTCTAGCTTAGCTCGGTAGTTAACTATGCAGGCAAGGGGTATGTAAGCAAGGCATTCTATTCCCTGTGCTGATCAAAACATGCCCCAGGAGCTGCTGAGTTCATGTGCTGTAAGTTATTCTTCAGGAAACAGAGCCCATGCAGGTGGACAACCCAACCTAGCTGAAACTGCGGCCTAGATTCTAGGATAGAAACTAGAAACAGAATCCCCAAAACTTGGGATCGGCACCCAGGGTTCAAGAAAGGTCGCTGGGATCGCAATAGTCGGGAAATCCTCACTCAGCCCGGGTCAAAAATACTACTCCTGTACGAGGCGGCCATTTGATTTTGGCCCCCTTTCTCAAAATTGCGCAAAGTTTTCCTCTCATACGGCCGCAGAGGGATAGTTACAAAAGGGTATTTTGGCGGGAAAAGAACAACAATCACTGCTTTGACGGCCGTTTCACATGGAGTGCGCCTAACGAGCCAGTAGCAGGATCAAGGTATCCTGACCTACGACTGGACGCAGCTCCCGAAACCCAGGTGTTCCTACGGATTACTCCTGGGGCAAATTCGCGTCCTTTTTTTGACAACTCGCCTTGGCGCCGTATCCCTCCCTTGCGTTGTTGTTGTGGCTGGTGAGCTCCGTAACATGGCCCCCAACGTCCAAGAGGATGGGACGAGGTCAGGATGGTAAGTTAGTCAGGTAAAAAACTAGCTTTGACGCCAGTCGCCACGCATCCGTCGAGCGTTTGACCAGAAGAGAAATCGTCACAGCCGCCATGAAAACATTATTAAGCCATATACAGTGTGAAAGCACCAAAAGAAACGCCGGGATTTAAATTTTCGTCGACGATTTGTCATGTTTATATTTATCTTTTGGTTGCTACTGAATTCAGGTGGTCCATATTAATTGATACACTTCTCTATGCTGAATAGCTGAGTGCTCTGTATCGCATTATTAATCACCTACTCAGATGGATGGTGGCGTTCCCGGGCGGACCCCATGCGTGGAAATGCTATTGTCTGTGCCTAATAGCTCATGGTTCAAAGGAAAAAGTGATCCGTCTCCATATTCGACTGTATACACTCCCTAAAGATGCAAAGCGAAAAAGGAAAGAAAAATGTGAAAATGCATAAAGAAAAAGGGAAATCCATGTTGATGGTCCTTCTTGCATAAATCTAATAGTTTAGACGCCAGATATCTCGAAGCGGATAGGGAAAAGAGAAAATATTAAGGCTGTTATTCATAGGAAAGTAGAAATAGATACCTGAAAAAAAATCCCTTCCCAACCGAATAGTAGACCCATCCACGTTGCTCATTAGGAAAGAACAGTAATGGAAAATGGAAAAGACTCCGCTCAAGATCCCAAAGCGCCGAAACTTAGTCCCTTAGCAATCTGAAGCCTCAATATCCTCAAAATATCCTGCCCCTTCACATCTTTGCGAATTCTCGCTCTCCAATCCCAACCTCGCTTCACATTGGCACCCCCTTGCCTCGCATTTGGGTGGGGAATAAGCACACCCGAATTTTCAATGGAAGTTGATCCACCATCCCGTTTGCGACTCTGGGATTCGAGCATTTCACTGCCGATCAGAGAAAAGCCACTGACTGCGGTCAGCGATGATACCGACTTTTTAAGTAGATTGCGTGGTGGAGCGGCGAAGGATGATGTCACCGGGGATCGGATGGATTCATCACCGAATGAAGTGTTCGCGAGGGCATCATAGTTGAAGTGGTGATATACGGTCGATTGCAGACACATTTCGCACTGGTCATAAACACGTGATGTGACAGATTGGAGATCTTCGATCGCAGCGAGGATGGTTAATAGCTGGTCGGTGGTGAGGAAGCGGTTGGGTTCTGGAACTCGAAAGGTTAGAATATGTAAATAAATAGCCAGGGGATAAGGAAACAGAAGAACTCACCTTCCAAGAATACGAGAGCTTCTCCTAGCAACACCAGGAGTCCATCAACTTGAACTGATGTTTTCCGTTCCCCATCGTACAAGCCACCATAGATGCTATCGGCTGCACTGCGGATGACCGCAACGAGAGTTTCAGCGGCAGCTCTTTTTCTAGCTAGAGGGCGATATTTTGGTCGCTCCCCCTTTTGCAAATAGACCTCCTCGTCGCGAATGTCGTAGAAGCGTCTCACAGCGGCATATCCACAAAAGTAGAACTGGAGCATACCAGCCGCCTCTTGGTCGACAGCTGCAATTGCTGATAACGCGGCTCGCGGACTGTAAAGAAGCGATCGAAGTTGAACATCGAGCTCAGATGCAGGCGGATATGCGGTGGATCGGACAAGGCAAAACGAAGTGAGAAGGTCGACAACCTTCTTCACTTTTTTGTAGCTATGAGCTCTTGCGTAACATATGAGGGCTGTTCCGTATTCTTCAGACGACTCTGCTATTTTATCCCCATATCGCTAATGTCGAAAATATGTTAGGTATGCGAATGGAAAGTAATTGATGATTTGAAACTTACCTCAGAAACCCTACGGCCTTCATCATTGAACCCGAGATCCGCACAAAGCAAAACAACTTTATCCATATGCTCAGACGTATCAAGGGGAATACGGTCAAGCAATTCTGTAGCCTTTGTCCTCATAATCTCTTGGTCGTCAAGACGACTCAGGACCTCGAGTGCAACTTCCCACCCATCCCTCGCTCCCGTAGGACTCTCAAGCGGATTTCGATCGAAGAGACCCATTGCGTAATTAATCAAAATATCATCCTTTCGGAGCGGTTTCTCGTTTTTGCCATAATTCAAAACCATGAGATCATTTTGATTGAAACCAGGCATTGGCTTGGAGCCTACTGATGTATCCAGCCATCCACCAAAGCTTGCAACTTCAGCAACAGCGGAGGCGATAGACAGTGACCAAGTTTGTAGCATCTCCAGCACTCCTTCGATGTTACCTTCGAAAACTGAAGCCAAACCCACTTCCATAGGGTTCATAGAATTAACCTGAAATCCTTCCTCTCCCAAGTTTTCCGTTACGTTGGCAAATGAATAGTCCAGGCGACGCAAGTATGCTTCCTCGGGGTTTGAATCTACTGAACGGGGTGCTTGCGACTGAGAACGTCTCATCACGCTTCGGTTGAAATTTGTTTCTCCAGCAGTTATATCGCTGTCGTCCTCGCCATCCCACCAGGCAGTGAGACCAACCGTAGCCTCTACCCAGTCCTGCGATTTACTCAAGATCGAAGACACATCTCCAAGCATGATGTTATACATAGTCTTCAGACTCTGATAAATCGTCCAAGGCACCTGGCTCTCAGCCATTCGTGTGGACTGAGAAAAAGAGGAAGCACTCCGTTGATTAAATATGCCGAAATTGGGTGCTTGGAACTGATCCCGTGCTTCAGGCAGGCGGTCCTGGCCTTCAGCTAAATTCTCGAGTTCAGAAATTGCGGCGGCAATCTGCTTTCGGTATATAGCCCAGTCAAGGTTCTTAATGTCCCAATCATTGTTTTGAACGCCTGGAGAGACGCTAAGTAGCTGAATCGCACTATTGACACATTTTTGAATGTTTTGAAGCTGGGCCCCTCGATAGCCGGGTTGCTCGAGGCCATCCTCCATAGCCGATCTAGCATAATTAAAGTCTGCACTCTTTAGAAGATCGATAACTGGAGATGGATTCCCACGCAAAATCAAGGTTTGAACCACATCCCAGAATGCTGCAGAAGCGGTGGGATTTGGTTGATAGCTACAGACGGTACTCGGGTCCGAATTTTGTGCGGTATGGTAATGGTTTATCCAATCGAACAGGACTTTAGGAATCGGGGTTTTAGCTTTAGGTTTGTTGGGTGCAAAGGCGCGAACAGCACCAATGTGAACAGAGGGGCCTCCTTCAGGGGCTCTATCCCGTTGAAGTTGAGGATGATGGAGGGGAAGGAGAAGGGATCCAAGGAAATTGGCTTTCACAATATTTGGAGCAGACTTTTCCGGACCTATGGTAGAGGTTCGACTATTTGGCTGGGCGCGAGATGAGCCTGCTGTATGTCGTTCCCACAAATCCAAAAGATCCTTGGAAATGTCACACAGAGCCTGTTGAAGACCGTCGTCATCATGTTCGAACTCCCGAACTTGATCGTACATTCGGCCAACTATATCCTCAGTCTCAAGAATAAGTTCATTAGGTTCGCTAACCATTGCAATCTGCGACCTCGAGGC